CATAAACTTTTCCAATGCACATATGGACATTGATCAAAATGAAACAACCCCACACTGAAATCATTTTACTGTGTGAACAACTGCCTGCAGTTTCTCTTTGGTTCGGCAAAATGACATGAGCACTCACAGGTGTGATAAATACAACTGAGTCAGAAGACCAGGGGTGGGGCCAGGCGTCGTAAACTATCAGGGCTTGGACCAAATCGAGGGGGAATGCTTCCACAGAGAGATTTGCCATTTGAGATAAAAGAATGCCCAACTTCTGTACATCATCCTAGTTACCCAGGAACAAATTCTTCCTGTAGAACCTACATCCTATCCCATCCTATCTAACTGTTCTCCAACTGTCATTCTGAAACCAGAACACAACAAATGTTGAGGATAACTCATGTTAACTCCTGCGACCTAAAAAGAGGCAAAAATAATGGAGAGTGACTGTCCATAGTCCATAAACTGGTAGCTAGCTTGCTTGTTCACTGAGGTAACACTGAATGAAACATGACACACACAAGACAATCCTCATGATAATGCTAGTGGAGTCAGAGAGACTGCAGGGGACACAAATTTTAAGTATTTTGAAAGGTCCAGTGTGTAACATTTAGGAGGATCTATTGTCAGAAATTGAATATAATATGCATAGGTATGTTCGTCATGAGTATAGGAACTGTTGTCTTTTTGTTACCTTAGAATGATTCCGATATGTTAAACAACCATGTTTCTACAGTAGCCCAGAACGGACAAACCAAATACTGGCTCTAGACAGAGGCCTGCCGTGTTCTCATTCCCAGGTTGCGGTGTTCACTTAGTTGCAATCTGCATCTTCACCACTAGATGTCACTAAATCCTACTCACTGGTCCTTTAAAAACGATTTGAGTTTTTGAGAAGACAATTCGGCCAGGAGATTCTCATTGCCCAATATTGCTGTGTTTACACATAAGATTTTTTCTTCTTTCTTATCGTCCACTTGCCCCCCTCCCCTTACTGTCAGTTCAATTCAACTTTCCGATTTAATGTGTTTTACTGCCACCAAAATTCTGAAACAATCGCCGAAGCAATTATTGTACATCATAGTGACACATAGTTAAGATAATGATGAGTCATTCAAACAGTGTGTGTGCAGTGTGTATGTGCAACAGAAGAGGAGAGCAATAAAGAAGATTAATACATTCATTATAGTGATGACACATGAAGAAGAAAACAGATTATGAGGTGCAGATTATGAGGAGATTAATCTTCAACTGCAATGAGTGAATTGCTGTCCAATATTTTTTCTACCTCCCGTAAAGTGTAAAACCTAACAGCATATCTTAAGTATACAGAATACTGTGCTGTATAATCATGTAAATAAACTTTTATGTGTGAGCTGACTGAATTATTTTATTTTATAAATATTTTTTAGTTATTTGCTACAGTGGAGTCTGAAGTTTGTCTGTGTGGTGGTTGCTGATACTGTACTGTACTGTGTGTGTTTTTGATATTTCACAGTGGTCGGAAGTCTGCCAGGAAATATAGAGCTAATGAACAGTGAAGTTTGCTTTGTGTTCTTTGTTGAAGATTTAAAATACCACTGGTATTTTCTGTGGAAGTCTCTTCTTTGTGTACTCCCCTTGGAATTGAAAGGCTTTTAGCAGAGATGGGCTCAGCTGTTTATAGTGTTTTAAAAACTTTGTGAATCATGATTGAATGACATCATCAATCACATTCAATTCATGATATCTAATTTCCTATTGACCTGCTGAATGATTTATGTATAGGCCTCTATATGTACGCGTATATAGGCTATGTATGTATGTGTGTGTTTATTTCCTGTATTATTTTGTATGTACTGTTTTTATTGGATTGTTGTTGTTCATTGATTAGTTATTTAACTCACTGTCTGTTTCATTTTGATATTAGCTTAGTTTCATTTTTTTGAGGCTGCAGTAACATAACCTTAAAAAAAGTAACCTTTATAAAAAAAAACGTTATATTGTCAAATCTGATGAAACTTTTACTATATCCTAACAGTAGTACTTGAGACAGATAATCTGTGAAACAATCAGGTTCCTCCTGGTACTATGACAATATGACAATATAACGTTTTTTTTATAAAGGTTACCTACTGCACCTTTTTAAAAAAATTCTCCTTAAGGGATGGGAGGTCAACTGTATAATGACTATAAACCAGAGCTTCTTGACCTCTCCTGACACGTCTTATTGCTTTTAAGATTTTATGCAACAAAATAGTGTCCATTGTTGGAGGTTCCCTTCCAACACATACACATATCCCAGCCTTGCATGTAAACTCAAATTAATGGTATTGTAAACAAATGTTTATTGTGTTTACAAGAGTTTC